TGGTTTTGTTTGTTGATTTTCCTATTGACAGCTAATATAGCACCTTCCTATCCTCTGAGACTTAGTTCTCAAGGAGGGGACTTACAGGTCAGCTCCATCTCTGTTCCTCCAAGCCCAGTGTCCAAAAGTGTGTGAGCTCCTCAGCAATGGGGTCTCAACTCCATGTTCTGGAAGACCTGAGGGCAATGGCATCTGTCTAGATTGCTTTGGGGGTCTCTTGAACACCCCTGATCCACAGCTCAAAAGGAGACTCCCCATGCCTGGCACTGGAGTTTTGTTAGGTAGTCTATGTCTCTTGGGGAAGCATTATCATCTCATGTGTAATTCTATTTAAAAAATTCTCTCTCTCTCTCTCTCTCTCTCTCTCTCTCTCTCTCTCTCTCTCTCTCTCTCTCTCTGTGTGTGTGTGTGTGTGTGTGTGTGTGTGTGTGTGTGTAACAAAATATCATATGTATGTTTAAGGAAATTTATTTATTTATTTATTTGGTTTTTCAAGACAGGGTTTCCCTGTGCAGCTTTGCGCCTTTTCCTGGAACTCACTTGATAACCCAGGCTGTCCACGAATTCACAGAGATCCGCTTGGCTCTGCCTCCCAAGTGCTGGGATTAAAGGCGTGCACCACCACCGCCTGGCAAGGAAATTTATAAGAAAAGTTCTCTGTGAGTTTCCCAAACATCCTTGGTGTTATCTTCTCTTCCCCCTTCTCCTTCTCTATTGCCCTTCCTCTCCCCTCAAAGTCCCTCTGCCATTGTTTATCCCATGTCCCCCTCCGTGGTACCTGTGTCCTACTGCCTCCTCTTCCTCTCCCTCCTCTTCCTCTCCCTCCTCTCCCCATGGTCCCTTTCCACTTCCCTAGCCCCTGCAGTCACGCAGGTTACACACTCAAATCTAAAGATTCAGCGCTAGCATCTGCAGCTAAGAGAGGACATGCGCCATTTCTCTTTCTGGGTCTGGATTCCCTTGCTCAGTGTATTTTCCAGTTCCACCTATTTCCCTGAGAATTTCGTGATTTCATTTCTTCCTTTACAGACAAATAGACTCTATTGTGGACATGTATCAGATTTTCATACCCATTCGTCGGTTGAAGGACATTTAGGCTGTTTCCATTTCCTAGCCATTGGGAACAGAGCAGAAACAAACACTGCTGAGCAAATGTCTCTGTAGTAGGATGCCGGGAACTTTAGGTGTATGCCAAGGACTGGCATAGCTCAGTAGTATGTCACAGTTATAGATTTAGTTATAGCCTAAGAACTTCTCTTTATAAATAGTGGTTACCGAGTGCTGGGATCAAAGGTGTGCGCCACCATGGCCCAGCTGCCAGGTACTGTCCGAAGCACCTTAACCAATCACCTTATTCTATCCTCTTAAAAACTCTACTAGGCCTGGGGGGAGGTGCTGGAGAGATGGCTCAGAAGTTAAGCTCTTGCTGCTCTTACACAAGACCAGGTTCAATTCCCAGCACCCACATAAGGCAGCTCACAGCTACCTATAACTCCGTAACTCAAGCACCAGGGGCTCTGACACCTACTTCTGGACTCCATGGGCACTGCACTGACATGCACAAACCCACACACATACATAATTTTCACAACTAAAATACCTTATTAGAAACTCTATGAGGTTGGTACTGACAGCATGCCCCTCTTACAACTGAGGAAAGGCAAGCGGAGCAAGTCTGAGTAACTTGTTCAAATCACTAGTAATCAGCATGAAGCAGTAAGACCCAGAACAAGCATCTCACCCCAGCATCTGACTCCAGCATCCTTGCGCTCAGCTGTCATGCGGTGGTCTCTGATATTGCTATGACGTTTGCACAGCATAAAGGAAGAAGCAAATATTTTCCATGTGAAAACCCCTTAATGCACAATCACAGTCATTCTCTGTCTTAGTTGTAGTTTTAAAAATACAGTCTTCTTCATTACTGAGCAAAACGCAAAACTGGTCCCCACTAACAAGAAAGGCTATCACAACTCGTAAAATGTACATTTATCCACTGGGTCACATATCACTCCTGAAATGTATTGCTTCTTTTCCAAATTATACCCACAGAGTAGATTACAATGAACTTTGACGTTAGGTACAAGGAGTACATTTGCTTTTGTTATTTATTGTTTTTAGGACAATGGCATGGTTGCGGGGGGGGGGGGGGGGGGGGGGGGGGGGGGGCATTATTTTTCCTCTCAGCTGAGACCTTCATAAGTAACTAAAAATAAGCAACTATGTGTGGGATAGGAATGCAGCTCAATTGCTGCCTAGCATGCAGGAAGCCCAGTAAAACTGAGTGCAGTGCTCCACACCTGTAATTCCAGCACTCAGGAGGTAGATGCCAGAGGATCAGAAGTCCAAGCCCTTGGACAGCTTGGTCTGTAAGAGACATTGGAGAGGGGGCGGCAAATAAGCAAAGCCTGGAGGGAGGGAAGAAAAGGAAAGGACAGAAATAACTATGTGCTTTCAAGTATCTATGTGGAAATCTCCCCACACACTATGACGGAAACTCTCTATTTAAAAACCTAAGCCATTCAACTCAGTCTGTATCTTCAGGGAAAATGGAGGGACTTCTGCCTCTCAGACAGCTTGGCAAAGCCGATGACCACAGCATCCTCATTCTGCTCCATGGTGTCTCACATCACCTGAGCAAAGAGGTGCACCCAGCCATTCCTTTCTTTTCCATCTGTGCTGAAGAATCCGAGAACTCACGGGTGCAGTGTGCCACCTCCTGAGTAGAAGAGGGTGTGCAGTTTCAGCTTTAGCCGCAAGCCAAAAAGGCAAGCTTGCTCAGCCTCTGGCAGCTCAGTGAGCAATGTGTCTGGAGACACAGGATGTGGTACTTCTGTATCCTCTCTCACAGCCAATGCAAGTCCATACAGAGAAATGGCTGGCATGAATCTTGTCATGTTATCACGGATAACATGATAACTGACATGCCATCAGACACACTCTGGCAATACTGGAAAAACCAAAATGCAATGGTGTTAAACTTGGAGTCTTTGAACTTGTTCCTGCCAGTAACTGCTTGAGTGACCTTGAACAAGTCACCTAATTCCTCCAGGCTGCATTCATAAATGGGGAAGTGAACCAGGGGCTGTAGTGGTCTATTTGGCCCTCACCATGAGACTGCCATCAAGAGGAACCTCTCTCCAGTCTTTAACTGAGCCTCAGAATTCAGATCGTTTTTACATCACCAGAGCTATCTTGGGAAACGTTGCCAGGCTTCCGTCATTCCTGCAATCCAGCGCCCAGAACTAGCCACAGATGGCTCATTAGGCAATGACCCCTATGGTTGTTTGCTGCAGGGTTCATTTGTGAATAAGTGAAGAGCGCATGCTGGAGCATCCTTCCTGTCGTTAGATCATGTACAAGTTAGAAATGGAAGCCCCAAGCTCCTATTATCTGCCCGACCCAAAACCAAATCCCAGATAGGAGAAAGGCCTTACATCTCACTTCCTCTCTGGCACCTGGAATGCAGCAGCAATGTGGATGTTCTTAAAGCCGGTGGCATGGTAGCCATGAAAGAGAGATGTGATATGCTTTATCTAGAAAAAGGGAGGCACACATTTTCCAGAGACTGCGATCTGCATTCTGTGTATTGGAGTCTGACAAAAAGACTCCTAGTGACCCCATAAGGTCTAGAAGTCACAGGGAGAAGGAGGCAAAGGAACCACATGGCCCTAATGACAGGGTTCTGGGGCTGGCTGCTGTACATTCTCTGTACATCTTTCTCCACTTTGTACCTCTAGTGGCTAACACAGCGATCAGTAAATGTTTGCTTTGTAACATAATGTGGCCAGAAGAGGGGACGAGTAACAAGCTGCCTCCACACTTGAATTCTGCTTGTATCATTTCCCTTAACTCTCCATGTAAGTGTAACGGAACCTCGATTTCATTAATAACAATAACTCTAACACCAGTGGTCTAAGGAGGAAATATGATAAACAAATGACATACATATAGAATTTCAAAGTCTTTAGGGCTGTAAGGTCTTGGAGTGCAAGCTGGAAGTAGAAACAAATACTTTGCCTTCCTTTATTTCCATGCTGCCATGTTAATTACCACAAGCAAAAGGAACTTGGAGGGGGACGGATTTGCTTAGCTTGTGAGTTATAGCCCATCATGGAGGGAAGTCATGGCAGGAACTCAAGGCAAGAACTGAAGCAGAGATGATACAGGAACGCTGCTCACTGGCTCACTCTCCGCAGCCTGCCCTGCCTGCCTTCCGATACAAGCCAGTACTGCCTGCCCAGAGGTGGCACCACCCACAATGGGCTGGGTCCTCCCACAACAATCATTAATCAAGAAGATGCCCCCAGACATGCCCAGAGACTAACCTGCCGCAGGCAATTCCTCAGCTGAGGTTCCCTCTTACCAGGTCGTTCAAGTTTGTATCAAGTTGTCAAAAACTAACCACCACATACTTCAAATATTTTTAATTAAAAATATTTTATTATATAATTAATGGATATATTAATTTCTGCTAAATTTTTTTATAATCAATAGGTCATAAATATATGTATAGCTCTACAAATATAAATATATAATAGTTTATGCCGCCTCATTTATATTTAGCAAATTTTTCTATGGACACACCTATCAGATGCTTGCCCCATCCTTGTTAACCCAGCCCACACTACAAAGCCTCCTCCCATACATGCTGAAATTTCCATCTGAAAGAGAGCATTTCATTGAACTCTACAAGAATGATACTGTATCAAAGTGATAGTATTGACCAAAAAAAAAAAAAAAAAAAAAAAATGCGGCCATCATGTAACATAAAGGGGCTGGGCCAACGGTGTCTTAATTCTCCTTGATTTTCAGAAGTTTAAGGCATTGGAACACATCAGAACTGGTCACAATTCTAAAGCACGCCAGAAAGTTAACACTACATCGAGTACAGCGCAAGAATGCCATGCACATCTTACTAAGAGTCCTAGGAAGGAGAAAGACTTGAGATCAGGATTCAAGCAGAGCACTGGGTAAAGAAAGGCACTTCCTGCGGAGCTTCGTCAGGCTGCGCGGTGCACGATGGGAGCGACACAGGTGCAGCCAACTTTGACGCGCATCTTCTCCAGCCTGAAGGAATTGGAACAGCCCTGGGGCTCCCGCCGGAGGACCAGGATTTCTTGATGGATGGCAACGGAGTTCATGGAGCTGTCTTCCTGCCCCTGGGCATTGATGCAGCCTGAATATCTGCACTGGGCCTCGGCGATCTCTGAGGGGAACCGGTGGGGGTCTCGGGTGATGCTGAAAAAAAACAAAAAGGCAACAAAGGATGTTGAGGCCAGGGAGTGGAAGAGAGAAGGGCTCCAGCAGCTGGGTGTTCCCCTCCAGGGGAGGTTCTGAGTCACACAGGGAGCAGCACCTGCTCTGGATTCTTGGACCAAGCTCTAGCTGTTAAGTAACTCCCCATGTCCCAAATGCCTCCACCATAAAATGGGGTTTCTCACCATATCATTCTCTCAGGGGACTGTTGAGGATTTTTACGTAGTATGAAGGCATGTAAAGCAACCCCATAAATGACGTTGGGGTTTAGTTCATCTTAGACCTATAGTTTATTTGTATTTTTATTACAATTATTACACGTCCTTTAAGCAGAAAGTGAACATCACTAATAGGTCTCCCAGTGTACAATCCATAAAAATTCACTGATTGGAAAGGAAAATCAAAGCCCTAGAAACGTATGAATCCAAAGCCTCTCTCAGTTTCTCTCTTGATATTCACCTCTGCCTGGAGACAGGGAGCCTCGTGGGCTTGCCACAGTGTGCAAACCTCTCAGGAAGTGCCCCCAAAGCACTGCTTTGTCCCTGGAATCTGTTTTTATGGATGTATTTGAAGAGTATAAGTGGGTGCTTAAAATCACAAGACTCTACCCTACACAGTGGATGTCTACATCTCAAGCTGACCTCTCTTCCACACCTGTCTCTTACCCTCACTATTCAGAGTAACATCGAATCTGAGTGCATCCTTAAACTGACTTCTGGTTTCCACTTACCCTCATCCAATGATAATAATGCATAACGTATCACTCCAGTAATCCCAGAACTCGGAAGGCTGAGGCAGAAGGATAACCATGGGTCTGAGGTTAGCCTGGGCTACCTAGGAAGTTCCAGGGCAACCTGAGCTACAGAGTGAGACCTCTATCTCAGAAAAAGAGTGAATGTCAGTCCTGAGTATGGAGAAGAATGAGGCTTTATAATCAATAATAATTAGATAATTTAGAACATTTTTCTTTAGTTTTAGCTGTCCTGGAACTCAGTATGTAGATCAAGCTGGCCTTAGACTCAGAGATCTACCTGCCTCTGGCTCCTGAGAGTTGGGATTAAAGCCATGTACCACCAAATCTGGTTTAGCACATTTTTCAATGGACTATGGATATCTATCTCCCCTGACTTACTTGTAATCCCATGGGGAGCTGGAGCGATTCTGGAAGTCATGTGAGACAGAAATGCCCTGATTTTGATTGAAGATGCGGATGTCAACTCTCACACTGTTATCCTCCAGGGGAGGGCAATTCCCAGCCTTCTGAGGGACAGGAGCTTTGGGGTTCTTCCGTGCTGCTACACCTCTCAGGATGGCAAGCCCCAACACCAACAGTAGCAGGGACTTGACCTGGAAAATAGAGAAGATTGCTGATGGCTAGAGCCCTGGTGGCACAATGTAGCTGAACTCCAACTCTGGAGTCTCTTTATTGGATCAAGGTTCCTTTCTTTCTACAGGTAGTCACTGGCAATGAGAACAGTCATCCCTAATGTTACCAAAGTGTGAAACAGAAAGACTGGTCATTAAAAGCCTCTTGAATTTAACCCTCGACTTATATTCCACAAAGGCTTCCTCCGGGACATCCCTCCAAATCCCACCCTATCATCAGGGCCCCATTCATATGTAGTTCAATTAGAAGTATATTTATCAACATTAAATAATAAAGATTTTATCATTTATCACTCATGAAGCATTTCTTTATGTTCTCTAGAAAGGTATTATGTGTGTTCGTATCAGACATAGACCTGTTAAAGTAAAACTTCCTGTATGAGAACATGCACAGCAAGGATGTTCCATAAAAGCTTTCTGAATGAATGAAAGGATGGGTAAGTGAATGAATGAACAGGGCAGGGCGACACAGTTATATTAAACAATAGAGTTGAGCTCAGCTCATTGAGTAAAAGATTATGTAAAACCAACCACAGCAAACTTCCAATTATCGATGCTAATTGAAAGACGCAGGGGCACTAATGGTGCACAACAGCAGAGGGTGGAAGCCATTTCTTTAAGCTGTGGCATATATACTTTTTTTTCTACACTCACGTTGAAATGTCCATTTATCTGCTGTTACAAGAACACACAAAGAAAGTACTCAGCGAAGACCTACCCACAAGAGGAGCTAGGAACTCAACAGCTTCCCTTTGTTGTGACTATCCTTTGCCCACACAGCCATCCCTGCTTGACCATCACTGGGGATGGACAGAGGAACTGAAGCTGAACTTTCAACTTCGGGGCTCCGTGTTGTTCAGGTTCATACTGTGTGGGTAGGGAAAGTGATTGTGTGTGTTGGTTTAAGAGACAAGCTTGTTACTTTAATACACACTGGAGGCAAGAAATGCCCAGCCCACACAGAAAGGTCACGGTATCAACCTGCTATACCAAGATCACTAATAATAAGTAGAAATCAAGATGCAGGATGAGGCAGATTTGCCTCCAGATAATCAGCACTCATGTATGTTTTCACCTCCACGGTCATTAGTTCGCTCAGTAACTAGTACTCGGGGCCACAGTGTTGTGGTTTGGGGCATTATCTCTAGAGTCAACTGTCTGGCATCCATAACTCAATTCTAGGACTCATGCCACAGTGACTTGCTTTCCTACATCCACAAAAATCCTAAAGACCCCTGTAAGCACATGGTAAGGATTTGATGCAGGTAACAACTGTTGGCACTGTACGGATGTGACACTCACTGCATGTGAGATGGATGTGGAATGTAGTCTTCACAAGTGCTTGGAAGTTTAGCAGAGTCACTCACCGATCAACCACTTATTTAGGTTTCTTAAGTAAATTTCTCCTTTGAGTCTTCTTCTTCTTTTGTATCATGTTCACTGACTCACTTCTAATTTTCATTATCGAGACTGAAAGTCACTATAGCTTGGGTTACATGATTCATAATTATTGTAGTGGTTTAAATGGGAATGCCCTCCATAGGCTGATATGCGGTCTTGTTGGAGAGAGTGTGTCACTGGAGTGGGCTTTGATTTTTCAAAAGTCTTTCATCATCCCCAGTTAGCTCTGCCTCATGGTTATGTCTTAAGATGTGAGTTCTCAGTTACTGATTCTACACCATGCCTACCTGCCTGCAGCCATGATCATCATGGAGTTAACCCTCAGAAACTCTAAGTACCAAATTAGACACTTTCTTTCATGTGTTGCCTTGTTCCTGGTGTTTTATCACAGCAATAGAAAAAAATAACTAAGACAACTCCCATGCTCCTAACAAGTCATTACTATTTTTATTAATACTTAAATATTCTTGGGGTATTTTAGAAAAACATTTTCATGGTTCTTTAAACACTAGATTCTACCCACTGTCTCATGAAGCAGACAAAACTCATCTTAATTATCTAATCAGCTAGATGAAGGACTTAGTCTGAGAGGCAATCAAGAACTTGGCAGCATTTTCAGCCTCTTAATGCCAGTCTACAGGCTCCACTTTCCATGGCAATGCTTAGTCACAGCCAGCCACTGAAGGTCATCACTACTATTATCCACATCAATCTTAGTTGTGTGTCATTACAGGACACAAGAATTCTAAATATCCTATCCGCTGCATCTAAAAACCAGAGGTATTGAAAGCCACAGGGCCTTTATCAGGAAATCATATAATAATCATCCAATCACTGCTTGCTTCCTGACAGTATCGTTTTTAGTGTTTTGGAGCTCTGATAAGGCTGGTGCTGAGTCTGAAGAATGATACAAACAATACTTCCCAGGGAAGCTGAGAGTGTTTTTACAGGCTTGAATTCTTATATGCCACCTTTAAAGCAGATTAATAGATATAATTCTCACCCTGTAGGATGGGAAACAGGCAGGAGAATACTGAAGCTGTAGGTGGGCAATCACAGAATGTGAACCTTTTCAGCTTAGCTTTGTACGTTACTCTGGTGTGAGCCCAGCTGCACACTTGCCCCTACACTTACCTGTAATCTGTGACCTCCTCACTCAGGAATGGGCTACAGAACCTGGTCAGCTCTAAGCTCCATCCAAATGTACCTCAATTACCATAGTGTGTCTTCTCTGCTGGCCCCTCCTAACCCAATCCCATTTCCATGCCACGTTCACTGCCACGCTTCTTACTGACAATCCAACTGATTTTTTTTTTCTCAAAGAATTAGAAATGATTTGGAGCATAGACTACCCAAAGGATTAGCTTGGATACAATGGTGTCAGGTTAAGAATCTTGCCTCTCGATCACCCACAGATGATTCGGGTCACAGTTGTGCATTACACTATTCAATGACAGCAAACAAAAACCAGATGATTGAGCTCCATTTCACTGTGTAATGGGCAGAATATTAACTGTCTACTTCTGTGGGTTGATGAGAGTCTCAGAGGTAATGATAATAGCATTGACTAGGCTTGGTGGCACACTCTTGGGGACCCAACACTCAGAAAGGGAGGAAGAAGGATTGCCAGTTCCAAACCAGTCCAAGCTACGTAGCAAACTCAAGACTAGCCTGGGCCACACAGGAAGATCTTGTCTCAAAAAGCAAAAAGAATAATATTAAGAATTAACATTTACATGCTTTTGCTACCTTTATCTCTTACAGCAAATTAGAGTGTCCAAATTAAATAGAAACTAAGCATTCATGATCTACCTCACAAATAGAGATTCATCCCACTATACCAATTAATCCCTTCCCCAAAACGCTGTAAGGGAGACACTATGATCATGCTGCTGCACGGCTGAGAAAATTAATTTCACAAAGGGTGATGACTAATGCCAAATCCCACATTTAGCAGATAGCGGAGCCAAACTTGTCTGACTTCAAAGCCTTATGTCCCTAAATACTGTGCTTTGGCGGCTTGTGGTAATCTCTAAAATAAAATACTAATAATCAAGTCAATATCACCATTGTCAGAAAGCATGAGCCCTTTATAAAAGCCAAGCCCTTAGAAGTTACAAGACTCGTACAAGGAAAATCAGAAGACTATCCGAACCAATTACACAGTGTGTGATTTCCTATGCCTGGTCCATGTGCCTCTATGTTAAACACTTCCCAGGTTTATCCGATTAATGTTGGGCATGCTTCTAGTTGTAGGAAGTGAGGAGTAGAATTGTATCATTCTAACATTCTACTAGCTTCTAGAAGGAATAAGACCAAGCAAATTAATTAGTTAATTGATCAGGTATCAAAGACATGAAAAGCTTCTCCAGGAGCTGCCCAAAAGTTTAACTGGGTGGTTCTACTTCCTCCACCCAAAGTACTACTATAGTCTTGGACGAACCAAACCTTGGGTTCCCTGCTTCCTTAAGATATAAATTATATATTAATACCTAACATATATTAGATATTATTATATGTGATATTATATAGCTACTCCTTCCTTAGAATTTATACATACACAGATAGATAGATAGATAGATAGATAGATAGATAGATAGATAGACAGACAGATAGATATAGATACACACTATATATATATATATATATATATATATATACATGTATGTATGTATATATAAAAGCTTGGCTTGGCTCTCACCATCAAGTATGTTTTAGGCCAACCTGAGTCTATAATGAGTAGCTAAGAGAGACCATCATGGTCCCTTGTGATACCAGATACACACACTAACTCACCTGAGCAAAATCCATCAGGTAAGATCCTATGCTTTCCACTCCCTATAACTTTGCTGCTGTTGGTTTGTTGATTTTTTTCTTTTTCTCCACCAGACAAATCAGAAATCAAACTTAACTTCATTTTTTAAAGAACTAATCCACAAAAGACTCGTAGAAGGTCTGAAGCCTTAGAAATCTCCCTTCCTTACCACTTAGACGCATTTACTCTTACGCTAGACATCAGCACCACTCACCATGGCTGTCTCACACGGACCCTTCATGCTTGTTTCCAGCTGGCTGCTGCTTTGTTCAGGAAACTCTTTCTTCTGAGTATGTCTCCCTGGGTATGTCAATGACAGCACCTGTCACTTTTATAGCAATCACTGTCCCTGTTTCCACTGACCTCCTTACTGTCTGTAAGTTGTGGTTGACCCAGAGTGACTGACGAATGCAGGGTTTTTTTTTTTTTCTACTTCACTTCCTGAAGGGGAATCAAAGGGGGGACCCTAAAGGAGATGACGGAAAATGGACCCAACCTTCCTTTCCTCCTGCTCCCCGCCTCCTCTCCCATTATCTTCACTACAGAGATGAACCAAGCCACAGATTCCTGTCACAGACTCTAATTCTTCCACAACTTGTGGATACTCTTGTCACGCACCGTGCGTTCTATTTTCAGGTCACACAGTAGAATCCCTGGTTGACATGGGGGTAAGTCATCCTTACCAAGGCTTCCTTTTAAACACCATGGATGGGAAAATGAAGCGAAAGAAATGACTGGTGTCTGAGAGATTCAGAAATTACATCCACAGGTAGTTTTTTGTGGTTTCCCTAAACTAATTCTTCTAACGCTCTGACCAAACCCTTACTGTGCTTACCAAATAATCATTCACACAATATATGTGGCTGTTGTCTTGGCTAATGCTGATTGAGGATCATTTTTGTTGGCCAAAGTGAACTAGTAAATAGAAGACTTTAAATGCTTTGGTGCACAATTTGTGGACTTTCAAAAAAATTCAGTTGTCTCTGTTCAGATCCTGTCCCTAAAACTTTTGTCAGGCACATGTATTTATGAACACAATCATTCCCCTCTCTCAAAAACACCAGAAGCTTACTTCTTAAAAATTTCTACTACTGGGTCTGGTGGCTCAGAGGTTAAAAGCACCAGTTGTTCTTCCAGAGGATCCCGGTTCAATTCCCAGCACCCACATGGCAGTTCACAACAATCTGTAATTCTACTTCCAAGGGATCTGACACCCTCACACAGACATGCATGTAGACAAAATACCAATGCATATGAAATAAAAATAAGTAAATTTTAAAAATTCTATTACGAGCAGGTAAAACCCTCTACACTTTGACCAGCTTTGAGTCTCTATGTCCATTACCATCTCCTACAAAATGAAGCTTCCTCAAATGTCGGGAGTGGGGGTGGATTTGATCAACACTATATATTCATGTCTAAAATTCTAATAACCAAAGTTTTTAAAAGATCATGTGAATGTGCACATTTTCCTTTCAGAGTGTAGTGTAGAGCTCAGAGCTGTCATCCTCTGTTGTCGACGTATTTGACTAAATCTCCATTTTCTTTAACCGAAGAGCATCCAAAACTGACCACAGTTCTGCCATGGCATGCCTTACCACCACATAGCTCCTCTCTGTCTGTGGAAGCTTCTGGTCCTTCTCTGCAGCTGTCAGAAGTTCAACTCCTACCCGAAGACTCTCCAACCATCCTCTCGGGCATTGCTCTCTCCTCACTCTTGGTAAGCTCAAATTCTGTCATCTTTTGCCTGCTTCTGTTCAGGATGGTTCTCTAGGCTCTTAATAAATATGGGTTATCTTCAGCCCATCCCAAAAGGAACATCCTCAAATATGCAATCTATATTACACAGTATATATACTGGTTTTTCAAGACAGGGTTTCTCTGTGTAACTTTGGAGCCTGTCCTGGAACTTGCTCTGTAAACCAGGTTGGCCTCCAACTCACAGAGATCCACCTGCCTCTGCCTCTGTCTCCCGAGTGCTGGGATTAAGGGCGTGCGCCACCACCGCCCGGCCTACACAGTATATTTTTGGGGCAAACATGGATTCAGTACAAGTGCTTTAGCCAGACTGAAATCCCCATGCTTATCTCACAGATAATTTTAAGGCCTCATCACATAGGACAGCTCATGAACACGGTGAAGCTGCCTTCATGAAGTCTAGATTTAGATTTCAGCTTTGCTTGTATTCCTCATGATACCAAAGCAATCTATGAGCGAGGCTACTTCCGGATCTGCATTGTCTGCTGAAGGATTGTACATTGGTGGCTGTCTGTCCACTATAGCAGGGTTCAGAAGCAGGAGCTTCAGAAGTAGATCTGACAACTTTTCATTTGACAACTTTTTATCAATAGAATAAACCTTTCATAGTTTTGTAGGATTTTTTTAGTTTTACTTATTAGCTTTAATGCCAATTATTTAGAACTCTGATCATTAGATATTTTACACACACACACACACACACACACACACACACACACACACACACACACATACATGTGCACGCACAGATAAATTTTTTGGCTAGCATATAAAATAATAGATTTCACTATGACATTCTTTTGTTTGTTGTTTTTTTTGGGGGGTTTCTGTTTTTGTTTTTTCAAGACAGCATTTTTCCGCGCAGTCCTGGCTGCCCTGGAACTCTCTTGATAGATCAGGCTGGCCTCAAACTCAGTGACCTGCCTGCCTCTGCCTCTTGAGTGCTGGAATTAAAGATGTGTGCCACCACTGCCTGGTTTTATTATGCCATTGTTATGGACGTATTAAATTTACAACTTAATGGGCTATTAGAAAAATGGCAGAAATTCTGATAGATAGGGACTAATAAGAGGAAGTGGGTCACTGGAAAAATAGATTGAAGGAATGTATTTGTTCCAGGTCCTTCCTTCTCTCCTTCCATCCCTCTCTTCATTCACCTTTTCCTTTGGAGACAGCATGAAGCAAACAGCTTTCCCCTACCTCGCACTCAAGAAAACCACACAAAGTTCTTGTCTCATCCTGATCGAGAAGTATGATGTCACATGACCATACACATTAAGACCTCTGAAACCATGAGCCAAAATAAGTCTCTATGCCTTTGAGTTGATGGTTAGGGGCATTGTCATAGAAACAGAAGGCTGCTTAGCATCCCCGCTTGCCTCAGTAGCCTTTAGGTTGATGGTTAGGTGTGTTGCCACAGCCACAGAAGGCTTGTGAGCATCCCCGCTTTCCTCAGTAGACTCTTTCCTCATGGCTGTGCTTCAGTGCATAGAAGAGTACAAGAACCACCCTGAAAGGAGTCTCAAAACACCAGACTCGGTATGGGAGGGTTTGCTGGATTGCGGCTGGGAAGAGTGAAAGGGCACCTTCCATGCGAAGGAAGCAGCACCGACTTTCACAGCCGCCATCAAAACGCCGTCTGCTGCAGAGGAAAAACCACTTATCGGGATGCCAAACTGGTAACTGCCCAGAACCAAGGGGTCCAGATCATTAATCTAGCCCGCATTTACTCAGCATTTCTTCCCATGTAAACCAGGTGTGTTGACACTATGGACACAGTAATGAATGTATGATAAGCAGACAGCCAACTCTGGTGCGTGCACTTCTCTGACCTTGTGTCGCCACCAGCCTTGAGACTTTCAGAAATACCCTAGAGCAGTTGTCCAGCACCCAGGCCACACTCAGCTTCAAAGCACACAGAAAGCAAACAGCAGACAACTGTAATCCCAGGAGTGGCTTATCCGTTCTATCTATGACCTTAGAGCACTGCCCCTAGAGATGTAGCGAGTTACTGTCCTATCTACCAATGACCTTGAAGTACCTGCCCCTTTAAGACCTCAGACACATGTAGGCCGCTCTCTTCTCTCCCTCGTGGGCTTGGATGCTCGGATGGACTCTGCTGTGGGATGGTCTGTCTGTCAAATGTGTTGCTGATTGGTCAATAAATAAATCACTGATTGGTCAGTGGCCAGGCAGGAAGTATAGGCGGGACAAGGAGGAGAAAAAACTGGGAAGTGGAAGGCTGAGTCAGAGAGACACTGCCAGCCGCCATCAGGACAAGGAAGATGTAAAGTACCGGTAAGCCACAAGCCACGTGGCAAGGTATAGATTAATAGAAATGTATTAATTTAAGCTGTAAGAACAGTTAACAAGAAGCCTGCCATGGCCATACAGTTTGAAACCAATATAAGTCTCTGTGTTTACTTGGTTGGGTCTGAGAGGCTGTGGGACTGGTGGGTGAGAGAGATTTGTCCTGACTGTGGGCCAGGCAGGAAAACTCAAGCAACAGGACTCAGGCAGAAGAACAGTGTGGGACTGTACCTCGACCTTCCAGGACCCTACGAAAACCCACTGTTCCATAGTGAGTCTTCCTTCCTAATAAATTCCTTTACCCTTTAAGCAGACTCCGTGGATTTCTTGTAATAGGCTTACACACAGCCTCACGTATGATAAAATAGTGTAGCTGGCAAAACATCCAGATTAGCCAGTGTTTTAGCCAATATGCCCTACTGTGTGCTTGGAGCCATACTCCATGTTTTGCGTGGGATACTGTTCCAGGTAATAGTCTGTGCTATTATAATGTGTATTAAGAAATTCAAAATCTGGTTACATAATGAAAATCATCACACATATATTAACAAATAAAATAACAGCATGAAATCGTTAGTGATCTTGGTGGCATGAATATAAACATTGAATTTTACAAATCCAACTTCCAGAGACTTTATTCTCATTCTATAAAGGTGAGTCTAGTCCTCTATAGGAAGATGGGTTGGTGGGTAAGAAAACTTGCTGTGAAAGCAAGAAGACCTAAGTTCAGATCCTCAGCACTCACATAAAGCTGGGCAGGCTTGTAACCCCAGAATTGAGGGACAAAGTCAGGTTGGTTCTGAGAGCTTGCTGGCCAGTCAGCCTGGCCAGAACACAAGCTGCAGACTCAGGGAGAGACTCGTCTCAAAATAATAATAACAGCAAGTAGAGAATGATAGAGAACAAAAGCCATTCTCTGACCTCTGTGTGTGTGTGTGTGTGTGTGTGTGTGTGTGTGTGTGTGTGTGTGTGTGTCCAAGCACACAAGTGCACATACACTACACTACACACACACACACACTACACTACAGAGAGAGAGAGAGAGAGAGAGAGAGAGAGAGAGAGAGAGAGAGAGAGAGACTGCCACAGCACAGCAGTATATCTGAAAACACAAAATTAATGTCTGAAAGTGAGGTGCTAACACAGCAAAAGCTTAAACAATCTAACCATACT